CAATTTCCCACCTTTAGCCAGGGTCTGCCTACATGTTGTGAATAGTTTTGTCTATTTGTTTTTACGACCGGCCGCCTGCCTGACATCAACTCCCTTTGGGAATGCATTAATCAGTGAGTTAATGACTAAGTTTTATTTACTTATGAATGACAAACTGTCAACGCTCCGTATGTAGTGTAGTGATACAAACTTGTTGTAAGCATAACAGAAACAGTATTAGTCATCAAAACTACAAATCTATGAGAGCTTTCAATAAGGAACTTGTTAATATATAAACTAAACTGAGAAAAAGAAATGAAACAAATAATTTTAAAGATAAAAACTGTTAGAAATTTGACGTTACTATAACAAAAATACAGACTTAAATAGCTATAGTCTAAAAATATAAAATCAAATCCATAGACAATAATGGTTGATATAAATAAAAAAACACACATCAATGGTCAAATTCAAAGGAGTTGAAACTAAATAATTAATTAAATCTTAAACTCCATAGCAGACATATTATATTACATATAAAAACAAATATTAAGTTTCATTTCAAATGTTGCTGATGAAGCAACTCTCTATCTATTCCGAGTAACGTCCTACGGATTTCAATAACAGCTGACATTTCTTTGAACACAATCGCGATAGATTTACCGAGAAATATCATGTTTATAGATGCTTCAATGAAAAAAACATTTGATACAAATATACTAAATAATTATACACATATATAATATGTATGAACTATGAAGTCAGTGGTGGCCTAGTGGTTAAGAGGCCCGCCTCTCATGCACGTGGGCGCGGGTTCGATGCTGGCAAGTACCAATGTGATTTTTCCGAGTCATATGTCCTATCCTACTGTCTAAGAGTATGTAGACATCACTGATTAATACATTCCCAAAGAGGGTTGATGTCAGGCAGGCGACCGGTCGTAAAAACAATTAGCCAAAACTATTCACAACATGTAAGGCAGACCCTGGCTTAAGCTGGGAAATTGCCAGGTAGAAGAAGAAGAATGTTTGTATAAATTACAAATGTGTGATAAATATGGAGATTACATTTTTGGTTTTAATCTTTCTTAGTCATTGTTAATATTGAATTTATATGAAAATCGATTAGGTAATATTTTTTTACTGAATAATAGAAAACAAAATGATTACGTTCTCAATAGACTAATGTTGATTAATCATAGTATATTCCGATCAAATACCCAAGATTATTTTACGAAAATTCGTTAAATTTTGTCAATTGTAATGCTTTTATTGTATTTAGTTTGAAATATTTTTAAAATCATTATACAAGACTTAATATTTAATTTAGAAATATTAGGATATAGGATAAATGAAAGGAACTAGTAACTAAACAAAACAATATTAAGTAACTATACACGGTTTTTGTAGTCAATCATTACGTTGAGAAATCTTGTATACAAAATCTCGATTTAGTTTCAATCACTCTAATGTCAAATAAAGTGTCATTCTTTGGTATGTGTTTTGACACATTTCATACGTCAAATAAAAGTGATTAATATTAACGAAAATTTTGTGCAAGTCGAATTACGTTCAAGAAATATTTAAAAAAATAGCTTGTCTAAATATTTTGAATAAATAATGCAACGAGACGTAATGAATTGCACTCACAAACAATGTTATGTCACGGGATATACTCTGTTAAAATGAACTACATTAAAAACTACATTAAGATCAGCAAATGACATTAGCTTATTTAAGCCGCGTACTAAATATGGTAAAATGTGTATTATGTATGAAGGTGCTAAATTGTATAACTCTTTACCCAAAAATATAAAAGACACAAAAACGATGGCTAATTTCAAAAAATTACTTAAATTATACATTACTAGTAATCATAACATTATAAGTTAAATTATTTAATAAATAAAAGTGTATGTCCTAAATTAAACCAATATAAAAAGATTACAAAACTATGAGTGTGCCGTACGAGTTGTCAAGCTGCCCAGCAATATTTTTATAATTGTATTATTATTTTTAAGTGAATGTAAATTCTTTTTAAATAAAGTTCTTAAACCCGAAAAACTGCCTTCCGTTTTGTATAATGTATGATATAATTTTATTTCTTTAATAAGGTGATGGCTAATACCTATCAAGCCGTTTATTTAAAATAACGAAGGCCTTTCAAATCTTCCCGCCATTCCCATGGGATTCCGGTTCCCCATTGTGATGAAAATTCCCTTAAAACTGCTTTTATATGCAAGCTATTTTAACCACATATCGATTGCTAGTGTTGTGTCCTATAATATATATGTCAATTCATAAGCAGATATATATTTTTATCTAAATGAGACAGCTTAATACATATTTTATAAGGACTCAATATACAATTAAATTAGAATATAAAGACTGAAATGTCATCAATTATTTATATCAGAACAAATTAGATCAACCAAGGTTTGTGAGTTAATTGTTTTTTTAAACTTGCCGCTACTACGCTTAAAATCCCTACTTCCTACTAATATGTATTATAAATGCGAAAGTAACTCTGTCTGTCTGTCTGTTACGCTTTCACGCCTAAACCACTGAACTGATTTTAATGAAATTTGGTACAGAGATAAAGTTGACCTTTAGAAAGAACATAGGATAGTTTTTAGCCCAGACTTTTGAAAGGTTCTCTTGGAAACGCGATATAACCGAACTCCACGCGGACGAAGCTGCGGACGAAAAGCTAGTAAAATAATAAAATGACTTTTGGAACGGCAACATTATAAAAAAATTCTAAATTTATAAATTCAAAAGAACTCGTATCCAGAGCCGTAAAAACATTTACAAAAATAAAAAATCAAAATTTATTTTCACGAATTCAGCTTCTATTACGAAAAATATTAAATATTATAAATTATCCATTTACACGAATGAGTAATGTTATATATGGTAATAAAATTAAAACTTATTTCGTAAATATATTGCTTCACTCTGAATATAAACTAGTTTCCTAAAAGAAGTTTCATTTAAGATCTGTCTTTTGTCAAATCTCCTAAACTAATTACCAGCGTCACCACGTAGCTGTGACCGTGAAGTCTATTTATAAAGTATTAATGTTAGACTAATCTTTTAATGCTTTTGATATCAAGATTGGATTTATTTAAAATCTTGAACAATTTTTAACTTCATGTAAGTCGTGAACAGACTTTTTTATATATTTTATTTAGTTAAACCTGAGATCGTATTATTTTAATATATAACGAAATTTAGGTATATGAGACAAAATCTCTCATCATTCAATGTATTCACGGTGCGTGTGTCGAGTCCATCGTTGTAGTGAGAGGAGCTTCAACAGTGACTGGGACTTGTGACCCAGGTGTAGGTTTAAGGGGCTATCTAAGTTTTTTTTAATCACGTTATAATATAAAAAATGACCCTACTTAGAAAGGGGAAATAAACCGATTGTATTAATATTACCATTCGTAATTTATTACAACGCAATTTGTAAATATTAAGGTAGATATTTTTGTTATAATTTACAATAATAAATATTTATTAACTACAAAATTAAAATGTAGTAATTATATCTAGAAATTATTTTACCAACATAAAACCTTAAATCTTCGTCTTACATCTCGATTACAATACAAATACATATATTTTAGTTTGTGTTTCCGAATTCATATTTGTTTTTTCAAATCCAAATATTTTAATTAAATTTATATTAATGCGTGTTTCCGAACGTATGATGGAAAATAAATATTCATACTTTAATATGGTTAAATATTTGATGGATATAAAAACTATGTATACTTATCTATTAAGTATTATATTTTTTATATTAAAGCTTACTTTAGTTAAAACTACGAGACTGATAGGTAAAAGACAATGATTTAAATATATTATGCATAATATTATTTATATAATAACTATTAATAAACATAATTAAATACTCACACAGTACACAGCTGAATATTTTTGAATCAAGACGCTTCCAGTTTTATTCACAATAAAAAATATAATATTTTACAAAACTATATTACAGTGACGTTTATCAACTGTCAATTTTTAGAACATTTTTGTCAAAAAGTTAATATTGTAATTGTTTTTTAAATTAATTACATAATGTGCCAATTAAATAAAAATATACAAAAAAAGATAGTTTTTTTGCTTTTCTTTTAATATTAATGTTTTAAAATGTGTTTATCGTATATAATTGTTAGTTTTCAAAGGGCAGGGGATGTCTTAACTTTTGTTTTACGAGTGTAGCCCCGAAACAGATGTTTTAGAAATAAGGAAATACAAGTTATAACACAATACAGACCCGAACATATGGCGGGATTTTGATCCCGTGTAGTTACTACAAAGTTTTGGCATTTTAAATCGATTAAAAATATATTTATGTGATATTAGTACGGATTAAATAATTTATTTGATTTATTTTAAGGCAATATTCAAGATTATAATAAATAAATCATCCAACAAATAAAAACGTTGACATTGGCAGAATATTCCACGACTCCAATGCGAATGAAGCCATAACAAAAAAAAACTATAAGATACCCTTATAACCCAATAAATATAATATAATAATAATAAAACACACGTGAACATAATTTTTTGTAACAAAATCATAACTTTGTTCATTTAAACTAAGGTTAACAAAACAGTTACGTAATAAATGAAGTCAATTGGGACGCATGAAGCTATTTAATTGGTCACAATCAAGAGAGATACGCGACCAAATACAAATGGTTACAGAGTTCACTTGTGTAGGAACATTTGATGTGTTTTTAAATTAGTCGGTTTATAATATTGATACCCGAGCGTTTGTAAAGATGATATTATATGAAACGATGTTACAATACTGTTATTTTAGATATATATGATATATTGAACCAGCATAAGTTGAGCTATACTTTTTAAACCGAACCAAGCAAAAATTTTCAATCATTCAGCCAATTTCATTTTATAATCTATATATTTCGTTTACGTCGGTATACCATTAAAAAAGGCATTACGTTTCAACCCTTAACGATAAATTAGAATATCATTATGCAAATGACATGGATTCGTGACTCCGTGGAAAACAAAGAGGTTAACGTTCGCTGGGTTAGCGAAGGGCGGAAATTAGGTTTATATCGGTTATGAAATATCGATAAATTTATTAATAAACTAAATAAACATCTTGGCTGTATAGAAATATAGCAATGAGAGAAGAATATATTATCTGTAGTAGAATTAATATGAAATATATTTTTATATTATATATAATGCATAGTACAAGCAAGATTTGAAAAACTCGAAGAAAATAATACAATATATTCTTAATACAGGAGCATAACTATATAAAAAACAAAAAGCAATTAAAGATGATGATGTGGAACTGTAATTATCATTCAAAATTTTATAATTAAAAATGCAAGTGAAACCGATAGCCACAACTAGTATTTAATAAAACTATTTACGTAGCAGCAATACTCTTTAATAGCTCCGATGACAGTTAATTATATAGAAATAAAAATTCAGATTTAACAATGAAATAATGAACTGTACTCACATCTGGTGTAAATACTACCAGGAATTTGACTAGAGAAATGTTTGAGTTATAACAATATATATGTATATACCTATATATATTGTATATATTTTTAACAAACCTTCGCTCTCCATACGCAAAAAAAAATTGATATAATTAAATGACTAGTATATATTTTTTCTTATAAATATCAGTACCATAACGATTCATACAAAGTGTTTTACGTTCTACAAAGATCAAAAGTGTCAACGTAGAAAGATCTCAGAAAAACAACAGACCGTACCACGAAATGAAACGATAGAAATACGAGTTAAACATCTTGGTAGGGGGGATGAACGAAAATATTACTCCAAGGAGTCCCGCGTCGCGCACACATGTTGTACGACTAGTGATGTGTGTGTATAAATTTAGATGACATATCGATAAAAATATCGATTATTGAAACAAATCATACTCATACACTTATTACTTTCAAACAAAACTTCGTAATCAATCTTCAAAATATAGAAAAAAATTAAACGTATGTATATTATTAATTTTTCTTCATAGTTCTTAAAATTAATTATGTATAATAAGATGAGCCTCTCATATAATATGTAATAATATTGTTAAAATTATGGATAGCGACATCTATCGATAGTTCACAACACTAGATCTCCCCGTCTCAAGGAGCGGCCAGTGGCACCGGCTAGTCACATTTTAGTCGGCGCCCGCGCAACAGCTTATTCCAAAAATACATACACCCGGCCACATGCGGACGACTCATATGTGCTACCTGAGTATATGTGCAGTGAGTTCTGTGGCCATTTAGATGAAGTTATGTCGCCCACCGCTATCGGGGAATGGCCGCAGTGGTGCGGCAAGGTGGAGGGCTGTCCTCAGGCGCTGCTAGGCTGGCTTTACCTGACACCGGAGCAAAACGATCAGGTATAATCTCATCCCCAGGTTTTACCTGTTATTCAGTGAAGTCCAGCCAACAGGGAATACTATTTTAGATGATCCAATTCGATGCGAATAGATATCATTATAAACAAACATTGTATGTGTCTATTTATAGATGGGTTTAGGAGTAATTCTTTACATTTGTTGTGTGTCTAGCTGCTCATATTATTTATGAGTATATGTGTATTAATGATTACTTAAGAAATCTCGGATCTCTACTAATATTATAAATGCGAAAGTAATTCTGTCTGTCTGTCTGTTACGCTTTCACAACTAAACCACTGATCTGATTTTAATGAAATTTGGTAAAGAGATAGAGTTGACCTTGAGAAAGAACATAGGATAGTTTTTATCCCAGACTTTTGAAAAGTTCTCTTGAAAACGCGATATAACTGAACTCCACGCGGACGAAGCTGCGGGCGGAAAGCTAGTTTATTCATATGTTATTGTGTGTGCGCGTATGTAGAACACATGGCTACTTTTTCCTTTACTCGGGATTCGTTAAGCCGAGGAAATAAATAATTTCAATTCCTTTATTTGTATAAAAATTAATTTAGAAACATTTACGCTTACTTATTATACATATATTAATAGTACATGGAATTTTAGATTTATTGCTTGAATTAACCAAAAAACTGAGAGATACATAATAACGAAAATCATAGAAATATTATATAAAACTCAGAAGAATTTATATGTCTTCCAAGAAAACAGATCTTGTATTATAAGCATTATGATTTATTAAAAAAAAGGGACAAGTGTTATTGGGTTCAAATGGAGCAACAGACGGACACTTTCCTAATTTACAACATTACATTATACGTACGACAGAGAGTTATTAGAGCGACGATGCATTTATCGACCCCAATGTCCTTGTATACTGTTCTTATGAAACTGAACATAATATTCCTAAAAAAAACGCTTAAATTTTTCATCAAAATTCTCATTAAACCAATACAACTGACGAAGTGTTTTTTAATTCATTTCACCAACGGTGTAAAGGAACATGATATATTTTTTAATACGAAGTACATATATAATTATACTATTTATATTTAGAAATAGTTTAAGAGAATTAATACTTAAAAAATAAAAATTATCTAAACTGTCATTTAAACTTATAGAAAAATTTTTTACGTCTCTAATTAAATTGATATAATCTGTAAACAAAACATTCATACTAATTACTACATATATTCTTTATTTGTCATTTGTATTTAATTCAAATATTTATTATTATACATAATATTTAACAAACATAAATTTATCTAATCTATTTTTTAATAATCTGTTTACATTTTGACATTACTTTTTTAACTAGACCGTGGAATCATTTGTTCTTATTTTAAAAAAAAACTAAATGTCAAAATTCTATACAAAAGTTATAGAAGCATACTAATTCTTCTGTTATAGATAATGCTAATATTATAGAATTATTATTTTGACTATTTCCTTTTATTTTCCTATATTTTTACATATTTATTTATATCAATCTGTTCATTATTTTCCATACATTCATTGAATTTCTCGTTTCAATAAAGGCCAAGTGATGTAAGCCAGGCAGGTGACTAAATATAACGCGGCTTCCCGATCGCGACCCGACGTCAATTCCTTTTAACGGTCTGTTCCTACGTTTAAGACTTGCCACCATTAAAATTATTGTTTTCAAATTATTTCACATGTACCGTGTGGCTAATAAATAAGTATTATAATACGTATTTAATTCTTACATAATGTTTAGTTTCGTTACGTACAGACGCTGTATTTATTTAATTGTAAAATCGTTTAATTCCCGGAAGAGTCATTGACCCGCTCTGACCGCGTTCAGTGAAGTAACTTTCAGATTTTGACGTGAACTGAAAAGTTATTCTTTCTGATAATTTGAGTTTACCTTAATCTTTACATTTGATACAAAAGCTTTTACTAATGTTTTAACAAGCACAATATGATTCATTTGTATTAAAATTTGTTGTAAAATGAACAACTATATATTTTTTAAATATCTACTTAAGATGGCCGTCGTAATATGTCAGGTGTCAAATGGAGCACAACATGGCGTTTTAATAAAAGATAATAGATATCAAAGGCGGCGGATGTTGATATTTTAAGTGACTTGAGTAACCAGAGACAATATAAAATAAATAATAGACAAGGTGGGTTATTTTGATAAAGAATCATAAACAATTTTGTAAGTACTTTAGATGACAAAATATAATCGTTGAACATTTCAGTGTGTTTCTTAATATTTTATGTAAAAATATTTATTTTATAAAAGAACATTTTAATTGGTCTACCGAAAGGACATCATTATATACAGTATCAATTAGTATACCAACAAAGTATTTTTGATGCACAATTACCATGTATAACATAATCGGTTTTATAACAAATAGGCATATCTTTATACATTGTGACTGGTGAATTACTATCAATATTTAAGGAGAATACTCGGTACATGATTCTCATTCGAATTATGTAATAAAAATAGGTACTTAATTTTTGACCAAATTTCCGTATAAATAAATAAAGTGTAGACACGTTCCAAGTGTGGACGCGTGCGGCGGCGTGCTGATACAACACCACGCCACCGCACGCGTGTGTGTGTGTGTGTATACCTAATCTGTAGGGTGTTCACACGATGCGTAATTAATTACATAACTTTTGGTTAACTTTACTTAGAAGTTTATTAATATTTATGTTATATTAATTTTTATTTTGTCATATATGATCGTCAAATATCACGTCCTCAAGTATCGATAGTAATTCACCAGTCACCCTGTATATATAACTCTTCTGTGAGTGTGTATGTCACTGAACTTCTCTCAAACGACTGGACCGATTTTGATGAAATTTTTGTATGTGTTCAAGGGGATCTAGGAATGGTTTAGATTTACAATTTTGTCCGCTGGACAATGTTTTTTTGATTAATTATTAATTTATTAGTAGTTGTTGATACAAAAGTTTTTTTTTTTGTCAATCATTCTGTCGCACTTCAAAACACGGAGATTTAGGTATGGCTTTAATAAGTAAACTCCAAAAATATAAATAAAAAAACGTAACAGATATTTCTTGATTATGGGGCGATACAAAGTTCGCCGGGTCTTCTAGTAGAAACATATATTTTAAAATTCAAAGCAAAATTTTATCCTTATGTAATTTTATATTGTCATCAGCCTATCAGAAGCCCACTGCTGAGCAAGGCCTCTTTTTCACATGGAGAAGGTTTGAGCATTAATCACCACGCTTGCTCAAGACGGGTTGGTGATTTCAAACTTATAATTGTGAAACTATAAGTCCATGTTTCCTCATGATGTTTTCCTTCACCGTATGTCAGTGGTGTCTAAATAATCTCAGAAAGTACATATGACTTCGAAAAATCACTTTGGTACTTGCCAGGTTTGAAACCGCGCCCTCGGCAACGAGAGGTGGACCCCTTAACCACTAGGCCACCACTGAATACAACTTTATACATACTTATGTATTTGTGTGTACATTTCATAATTATTACTAGTATGACACTACTGTTTTTTCTATAATATCTCCTAATATTTCTGAAGATCCAGACACCTAATTATCAATCTCTTTCAAAACTTATCTCATATGTTTTTCATCACTATTCCTTTTATTTTACTTTTGTGCATTATCTAGTGAATATGCTAGATGAAGGGGACGACAAAAATCTTTACTTTTACTACTTTAAATGAATTGTTTAATAAGTAAAGCAAGTCCCCACTAGAACAAAGACGCTATCAAAAATTTCTCTTTACTTTTATATTTCATTACAAAAAGGAAGGCTTCAAATGATTCTCAGTCTGTGTCTAAATATTTAACTCCACAGAAAATCTTCCACACCTGATTAATAATAACATCATATCTAAATTTATTATTATATACGTATATATATTTATACGTACTTTATATGAGTCACATACACGGAATTGGAACGAATCAAAATATAATTCGTTAAACAGATGCGCTTGCACGACTCGGCGAGGAGAGAGGACGTACAAAAAGATCTCATTATCTTAAAGATCGGAAGCTTTCGACACGATGTTGTAGTGTTGACGAGCGAACTAAAGATCATTAAACATAATGTTTAAATATAGTTATAGATTCGTTGTTAAATTTTCGACGTTACTTCCAGTAGGTAATCTTCTTCTTCTACATATATAAAAATGGATTGCTGTTCCTTAGTCTCGCTAAAACTCGAGAACAGCTGAACCGATTTGGCTAATTTTAGTCTTGAAATACTCCAGGGAAGGTTTAAAATGTGATTAAATTGGAATCATTTCCGGAAAAACCCTAAAAACAGCCCTTTTCTATTTCCCATACAAACGATTTTTTGACATTAGACTTGACAACTAACTAATATGTCAATCATTCTGTTCGATTGAAACAGTAGAAATTTAATAAATACCAATACCGGGTTATTGAAGACGGAATAGAGTTTGCCCGGTCAGCTATACCTATATTACTAATGAAGAAATTGACGCGGACGAAGTCGCGGGCAAAAACTAGTGTTTTATAAAATTGCTGAAGCCAGTATTTAGTTTTCAAATACAATGACACTTAAATGTTGCCATTACAAAATTACAATGATTCAGTTTTATAATTAATTATAAGCAGTCATAAAAATAAGTCTAAGGATTATCTTCTTCTTGTACCTGACAATTTCCCAGCTTTAGCCAGGGTCTGCCTTACATGTTGTCAATAGTTTTGGCTAATTGTTTTTACGACCGGCCGCCTGCCTGACATCAACCCTCTTTGGGAATAAAAATAAGTCTAATATATTATAATTAGTACAGCACGGTGTGCGCTATTTGTAACAATAAGAGACAATATTATATAGATTTAATTTATAAGGCAGACCCTGGCTAATGTTGGGAAATTGGCAGGAAGAAAGAGAAGAAGAATTTATAAGACGATCTTAATAATAGTATAAAACTATTAAAGTCATTGACACGAATAAGAGTAACTTTGAGTGTTACAGCTCCTCACTTCTTTAGGGTCTTTAAAACGTAATTCACTAGTAGTGAAACTTTTATAGTAATCACTATTAAATGCAAAAAATAAAGTATAAAATCTATTAAATATACATAAAGAAATTAAATACATTGTTGTCTATATCTCCATTATTTTATTAATGCCATAATGTTGATTCATACTTTATTAGAATCTCACTAGCTTACCGGACAGTAACTAACTTAAGAAATAGGTGATACACCACATAATATTAGCGCACTTCCTATTCGAACAGATGTAATCCCTACTAATATTATAAATGCGAAAGTAACTCTGTCTGTGTGTCTGTTTGTTACGCTTTCAGGCCTAAATCACTGAACTGATTTTAATTAAATTTGGTATAGAGATAGAGTTGACCTTGAGGAAGAATATAGGATAGTTTTTATTCCAGACTTTAGAAAGGGTTCTCTTGGAAACTCGATATAACCGAAATCCACGCGGGCGGAGCTGCGGGCGGAAAACTAGTAGCTTATAAATGATCCTCTTTAGGATTCTAACAAAGTAGAGCCAATCAGCTTACGAAGTACAGTTTGATACTCTTTTTAATACTGTTAATCAATCATAGAATAATCTAAATCCCTGTTCTATATTATTCCAGTGGGCCCCGGGTTCAGTATGGGGTCCTCTTCCTACAGCCACAGCGGGCTCCCCACCACAAGACGACGCCAGCTCCCTCGCGGAGCAGTTAGCAGCCCTATCCCTCCGCCGACCGCCTCGGCCTCCGCCCCCGGCCTACATGTGTCATTTGTGCTTCAAGAAAGGACACTTCATTGGAGACTGTCCACAGGTAAATAAAATTCTTACAAATATTATACCAAAATCCACAGCTACGACGACTTCCTTATTTGGTGCGAGTTTTGGCATACTGGATAAATCCATATTAAAATAATCAACATCGTATGCCTGTATTATAATTATGTATCTTCTTCTACCTGGCAATTTCCCAGCTTTAGCCAGGGTCTGCCTTACATGTTGTGAATAGTTTTGGCTAATTGTTTTTACGACCGGCTGCCTGCCTGACATCAACCCTCTTTGGGAAATTATAAATAAGTATATTAATATCTAACATAAAAAGGTTTTATTGCTCATAAATATTTTTTTCTAGAAGGCTACAGTCTACCACATAATGCCATTGACACGACTGTTTAAATCATTAACTCAACATTGTTTTTCATGAAAAAATATCATAACTTTTGTATATAATTATTTATGAATTTGATCTATGTCTAGTCTATGGTTTGTTTAAAAAAACCTATGCTACGCACCCATTGTGATCTTTGTTCTTTGATTTCGCAATATTTTTTTATTAATAATAAGTCACATCTATATGTTTTATATTCCCTTGAATTAAAAAAAAATAGTTTCTATTTCAAAATTGAAATAATAAGTGAGTCTACTCGATTCGCTGAAATATTATTTGAACATTTCGTCAAATTGCGTAGTGAGGACTTTAAGAGTTTTTCATTCACAAATCTTAACAAGCAACGTTAAAGGATTCGTATACAGTAACTTAGTACACTCGGCATACTGTTGTTTTAGCGTATTCATTCTACTGGACAGTTACTAACTTGTAATGAAAATACATATACTTAGACCTCATAAAAGTTATCTAGGTTATCATTAAAAACATTGAAAACAGTTTTATTTTCTTAAATAAAATAAATATTTATTTAATATTAATATTTAATATTTGAAACAATGAAAACAGTTTAAATGAAAACAATATTTTTAATTTGGTCTGAAATAAATGATTATTATTATTATTATTATTCGGTTATAACGTGGTTTATGTTTATTAAGAACTACATACTCTCGACGTTTCTGCTACTTTTCACCAACCGCGATAACGGCAGAGGAGATCACGGTTGCTGAAAAGTAGCTGAAACGTCGGAACTATGCAGTTCTTTACAAAAATAAACCCTGTAGTATAACCGAAAAACATTAGTTTCATTTAAATGAATAAAACGTACGAAAGTCTTAGATCTCATTACAATAATAACTAATCTACATTTTGATTATATAATAAACACCTAAAATTGGAAATGACATTATTCACTAAGTATGTCCGTTGTCCAAATCAGTACAGCCATTCCGTATATTTACTTGCCTAATACAAGTCTTCATATTTACACTACAAACGTAGCGTTAGGAAGTTTCGATCACATTATAATATTAAAATAGATTATTGATTAAGAAAGACGAAACGTCTTCATGTAAAGTGTCGACACAAACGCATGGTAAACATATAGTCGGCTTAAATAAAGAAAAAACTAAATTTAAGACAAAAATTCATAAAGATCATATACAACTTCTCTATTATAAAACAAGACGTAAGCGTAAATATAATATATAAAAAAATCCAAAAAAAATATAAAGGCACAAAGAAGATTACAAACATAATTAAATTATACTACTCATTTATTATAGACTTAGAAAAATCTCTTTAAGTTTTTACCAATTCAAATAACTTTGCGGAGTTTTAGAATGAAAAATATTTTTCAGTTATATCTGAGTTATATCTAAAGTACTATATCAAAATGGTTTATTATTTATATCACTACTAAACACAAGGTCCCGCCGATTTTCTCGAAAAAAATAAAGCCCAAACACTCATTATATTTCATAAGTAGTAACAAAGAGACGTTGTTTTTGAGATAACATCAATTATATTTGAACTGCACCTTTTGGTTAAAGGAGGCATTGATTGCGTATCCTATAACCTATAACAAGAAATAAACCAGCACGTGTTGGGTGTAACTTACAGTGCCATCTGTGATTATAAAATGTAACTAAAGGTTTTCAATGTCCTCAGTTGATTTCATCTTCTACAATAATTTGTATTAATGTGGCATAATTGTAATCATTATAAAGAATATACGACTTAATTTATATGTCATAAAAACTATTTTAATTTGTACTAAGATAATTGTTACTTAAAATAAAAAAATCCTACATGTTTTTTCAGGCACGACCGAAGGGGGAAGGTCTAACTCCTTATCAAGGGAAGAAACGATGTTTCGGAGAGTACAAGTGCCCAAAATGTAAGCGCAAATGGATGAGTGGAAATTCTTGGGCTAATAACGGCCAGGAATGCATTAAATGCCGCATCAATGTCTTCCCCCACAAACAGGTAGACTTCAAATACATTTATCTACATTCTAATTTGATTAAATAGTTCGAAAGACAACATTAAATAAGTGCATCGTAAAATCGTGTAATTTTTTACAGTCCTTATTTTTATACTTTCCTTGACTGATACTTATGAAAAATCAATAAACCATTTATGAGCTTTAATGTCACGACAACTTAAAAACTTGGAATATTTCACTATCTTCAATAATGGAAGACCTTCTTATTTAAAGTTGAAGTATTTTATATATCTTTGATAGCAACAAGGTGCAAATAGCTTAAATTCTATATATTACAATATAATTTAAAGTTCATTCTACTCTGTGTTTTTATAAATATTTAATAAGTGACATTTACCACCAGAGGCCTCTTGAAAAACCTGACGGCCTGGATGTGAGTGATCAGTCAAAACTACATCCGCAATACCTCTGTCAGAAGTGCCGTTCATTGGGTTATTACTGCCGCAGAGAATATTAGTAACAAGAAACTTTATTTAATCCATAAAATCATTGTTTATACCAAAAATATGAATGATAAAAAGCATGTTAAACTCATTTTAATAATGTATTTGTGTTGATATAGTTTTTTAGAACATCGTGGATTCCTGTGGACTCTCTCATCATTCCACATTAATTTAAATTCAGAATTTGTTAATTAACATAAAACAGGATATTTTGTTTTAAGACAAAATAATAATCAATAACATACAAGTTTACAAATAGTAAGCTACAGCTTACGATGTAGGTAATTGATATCCTGTAATTGTTATCTTATAAAAAAATGTAATATTTTTGTGACATGAAATAATTTCAGTAAAACCATGTTTTTGGATTCGTCTAGTTTATATTCTTTATGCATTTCATAATTTTCATAAATGTTTCAATCTTCATTATCAATCGTTACCCTTGATATGGCGATGACAGAAGATATGTCAGTGTCATTAAAGTGCTAGTACTACATAGCAACAAATATTTAAAATTTAAATTACATATTTACAATCAACTTAGACCCGATTATATTTGTATGTTTTTTCGTAATATTTTTATATTACAAAAGTAACTACTTCTCAGACTAAAATTTCTAGTATATAAGAAATCTAATTCTAGATTTACATCGATAAAGTAAGTATATTACATTTATACAAAGTTAACATATATATTATGTATATTTCGAATACCAAAATGTTCTTGTACAATTTTAAGTAGCATTAGTTGACTCCAGGCATTATAGATACTTATATTATGATGTATATTATGTAATAGGATTAGAAATTATATTTTAAGATACTATTGTAACAAAAAAAAACACAAATGTACATGTTAATAATGAATAATTTTCCATGTTTTCATTGTTACATCCAACAAATTGTTTTAATAGTATTATATATAGTCATTTAACCTCACTCCCATTTACATATCTAATACCTCATTCATAACACAAAATAAGAAAATTGTAGAATATTTGAATTTAATACGTCTAGTATATATCTTGCCATTATTAGAGAGATGAATTAATTAATTTCTAACGGCTATATATTATAACAGTCATTTATTATACACTTATTTTAAGAAGGAACAAAATCCAAAGATAATGTGAATTCTATTTGTGCCAAATTAGTTTTAAGTATAAATATGATGTATATGTAAATTATCAGCTGAATGTGCCATAAGAACTACAAATAAAATATGTTTAAAATATAATATTTATTCTTCGATTAAAATTTCACCGTTGTCGTTAAATCATTATTATTATTAAGATTGCCGCTGAATCTATGGTGCTTGATTATGATTCAATACAAGTTGCTGTTGTCACAAACATATTTTACTATATATCTGTGCCTATAAAATGTAATTATTAGTATTAATTTTAATATAGATATATATTCTAGTATATCTTATTATTGATGAACATATTATTGAAATTTTGTTACTTACTTAGTATTAAGTGATGTATGAGATTATTTTAATAAATTCTATTCATATTTCAAGTTATTTTTATTCTTTAAAACCAACACTTTTCTTGCTTAAAGCAATTAAAATGTAGAAATGTAGTAGTTTAATTAATGGCAGTATTAGCAGCGAAAGGATTTTTCGTTCAACAAAATCCTTTTTCCGTAGGCTCCAAAGATATATCTTGCCCTCATAAAAATTGGGTCTTCCTTTGCCACTTATTTTGTCACTTAAAAATTATATAGATGAATAGGATCTAAATAATATGTTTTGAAGCATATAACAAAATAAAATCTGTTAGCAATTACACCATTTCTTTTTATTGATATTTCAAAACAATCTTTCATATTTTAACAACGATTTCTTAATGAATGTCTTGAAGACTTCTATATTCTAAAGAGCAACTAGAAAGCTATTTATGCTAGTTTGTTTGTTTTCATTATATATTTTCTATATAATTTTCGATCAGTCAAACAATAATGTTAAAGATATAATTATATTTCATCTTAACTTATATCTTTAAATAAGCAATTGTTGTGTGTATGTAATTGGAATTTCAGAATCGGATCCAACGATTTTTATAAAATTTAGTATGTAGGGGATTTCGGGGGCAACAAAATGATCTAGCTAGGAATCATTTTTATACAGTCATTTTTAAAAAGATTAATAAAAAGGAGGCGTTTGAGTAGTCCCAATTTAAAATTTGACTCTTCCTGACATCTATTTTCGAATAACAATACTACTTTCTACTAATTGCTTTAAAGACACAACAGCAGATGGCGTTGTTAAGTTACAGGAAGTCAATGAGTGTTTGTTTTGTAGTAATAATTTCTTAATACCGAGCAAAGTTCGGTGTTCAGATGTTTTAATATAATTATCTTATAATATATATAAGAAATAAACTTAACAAACGACAAACTGATAAACAGTTTCATCCCATCTGCTCGTGATAATGGTTGCTGAAAAGGAAGCGAAATATCGGGATTTTATGCTGTTATAGAATAATAAAAAACGAATAGTATCCGAAAAACGAAGTTTCATTTAACTTTAGAGCATCAAAGGTCATAGATTCAGAATTTATGAGCATTAACACTACCTACTTACGAAGCCAGTCAACAACTTTTGCTGAACTTGTTCAACTTTTCGTCCACAATTTTTTTGAGGTTATTTATAAAGATTACAGGCAATATTATACCAATCAATGTACCATAAATCTTTTTTTCTATTATTTATTAAAAAATAATTTTGTCAATTAATTATATTTCCTTAATACTTACCTATAAACGAAATTTTAATCATAGAATTATAATTCTTTATTACTGAAGTTGTATAAATTTCTTAAATGAGACTCGTTGAATTTAATTTTATGTTACATAGAAGACCTGGCGCACTTTGTATCGCCCTATAATCAAGAAATATCTATTACGTTTTTTTATTTACAAAATACAAAATTTTTTGGAGTTTACCTGTAAGCCATAAATCTCCGTGTTTTGAAGTGCGACAGAATGATTGACATATTAGTTAGTTGTCAAATCTAATGTCAAAAATTGGTATTTTTTTACTTGAACACTTTTCCCCGTTCGACTCTAAAATAAATAAGTTCCATTAAAATTTAGGACAAATCGGTAACATTGATTCAGTTGTATTTTTGCTTACATTTTAAAACGTTAAATTAATTTGATTATATTATAGGTTAGTCTATTACTATAAGGTATAATTATAACATTTACTTAGAATGGTTATCTATTCTCAAAGAGGGTTGATGTCAGGCAGGCGGCTGGTTGTAAAAACAATTAGCCAAAACTGTTCACAACATGTAAGGCAGACCCTGGCTAAAGCTGCATAATTGCCAGGTAGAAGAGACTTGAAATGATTATTTAAAAAATCCTAGTTAAAACAGAATAATCATAATGGCACTTGAATTTATTGCTCATTTGGATGAGACTTTTTTAAAGTATAAGTATTAAGTAGGTACGTCTTTTGATATTATTCTAACATCTCGAAGATTCAAAACCGATTCTTACCTTTTGCTGTTTTATAAAATATAGCTTTTGCCCGCGACTTCGCTATACCTTTTGAATGGAGTATCCGATTAAAATAATTTAAACAGCAATATAAAGGTATTGAACTACTGTTAAATGAAAAGTAAGTTATTTAGATAAGTATAAATAGGATGGTATGAATATCGACATCTTATTTTCGTTGCCGATTTAAATAGTTTGTTAAACTATAAAAGTTTTTATATTAGCGTAACTATAATACTTAGATATACACTACCGCGGACTTTCCTGTAGATAATAATGCGGTCAACAAAATCGTAGTACATTATTTTGCTCCATCATCAATAGTTATGGCAGCGCACGCGATTTAAGGTATTTCAATAGTGATTTTTATCGACCGTGGTTTATGTTAACGAAGTTTTCGCAAGGATCCCTAATTTTTTTTCAAAATAAAATATAGCCTATATTACTTTGGAAAGATGTACAATCATAATGGTGAAAGAATTTTTAAAATCGGTCCAGTAGTTTTTGAGCCTATTCGTAACAAACAAACAAAAAAAATATTACCTTTTTATAATATTAGTTTAGATATGCAAAATCGTAATAAACATCATAGTCCAAGATCCCAGGACAACAGACCGTGATTATTTTCTGAAGGGCATTAAAACATAGGGCTATAACAGCTAAGTCTTAGTGTTTACAGTAAATGTATGTATACCAGCTAGCTTACAGTGACGGCCAATTCTCAGGTACCAAGTGATACAGTTCAGACCAGATATATATCTGTATTCGTGAATTTTAATTTATTCTTACAGTTCCTTGTAAAACCAATATCCCCAAAGACCACGGCCCACGCTATCACTATAAGAATAGGTTCGTCGTAAACAGTAGAAGTGGGAGTCAGAGGTAAAACAGCTTAATCTTTCCACAGCCTACTACAAGACTTGGGCCTGTCCGGAACTAATATAAATTCATTCTTACAACGTACTTCGATGGCAGACCTAGTAGGTTCGTTTTAAATGTTGTTATATAGAGAGAGGAACTGGAACGGTCGCGGTGGAGGTGAGAATTTAACGTGCGTTAAATAGGGGTCCCTTAAACCTATGTACACATGGGCCATAACTCCCAAGAACTATTAGAACTTCTCTCCCTGCCACCCGACATTCGCACTGTGAATCCATGGAATGTTAAGAAATTTAGTCTCGGCTCTATAATATATATTAAACTTGGTAACTCAAGTGTTTATCACAATTAGTTTAAATGATAATAACAATTAGCTTAAATAATCATTGCATTAGTTAATATCGAGACCTAACAACATTATGATAATAGTTTCCAGTTTTGGAACAATAGCTGTATTTCTTCCAATAATTTTTCGAAATATATCTATAGATTCGTCAAGAGTCAAGGATAATATATTTACTAGATACAACACATACTTTTTATAAAAGGTTTTAGAGACTGAAAATACAGCGATGAAAAGCATTACAATACTAAAAAGTTGAAGTAAATTGAAAGGAATAATGCT